ACAATTCTAATTAATGGTGATTATGGTTTGTGGCGTATACTTAGAACATCGTGTTCTATTATGATTAAACTTTTTTTTTTTCCCAATGTTAGACCTACTGTGTGGGACAAATCCCATTTAGAACGGGTAAAAGAATGAAACTGCTCCTCTTCTCATCTTACTACACCATATCTTTTTTATTTTAATGGGAAAAAATAGCTTCATTTTGTATCTTGAGCAGGTTTTATGCAGCTGTTGTTGCATATAGTCAAGTAGTCTAACAGATTTGTTCTCCTCCGTGCCCTGCCACAATGTCACAAGAAGGTAGGCTTAGAGATGTGTAAGTTACAACAAAGGGGAGAGTGTTAAAGAATATAAAATAAGATCAGCATTTTAACCATAAACAGTTTGTCTTTGGAGAATAACACTTCAGCTAAAAATATTCAAAGCATAAATATCAATGCATGAAACTTACAGAACACAGTAAAGTCTCCTTAACCTCAACTCACTTAGTGAAGCTTGTATTTGCCATTTGAAGCCAAGAAAACCAACATGTGATGATGGGTGTGTGTCTTCGGAATGCCAGAACATTTTTTCCCTTTCTATTCTGCAAAAAGATATGACAAAATGCCTTAAGGATTCATCTGCGTGAGGTAGGAGTTGTGCACTTTCTACGTGGTTGGAATTGCTTCTGAGCCAAAAGCTGAGACATGTGAATTCTGCAACCTAAAATAAATGTGAAGGCTGTGCAATTGTAGAATTGGGACAGGTAAGGAGCATAGATAATGAGCGTGTGTTGCATATTTTGTTGAGTTTTGCTATTATAAATTTTAAAAGACACCATTCTTCACATTTTGTTTATGTACTTGTTTTCCGGTCTAGCTTTGCGTCAGTTTTCTGCCACCTCAGTTTTGTTTTGAAGGGGTTGTGCGTATTTTATGATGGGAAGTTATAGGTCTGAAGTTCAAGTCAGAACTTGGGAAAAGGTACTTTTGCTGGATAATATTCTCATAAAACTTAAAATGCAGTGTTTGCCTAATGATGACTATCCCTTTCCTCCTTAGCTTCCAGCTATATATTTTGAAAGTGTTCAATCCAGTGTGAGAAGAGCTTGTAAAAATGTGAAAAGCAAGGAACAAGAACCCAGTGGTCAATGGCAAGAATCAACAGAAGCTGCTGAGCTTGAAAAATTTAGGTAAAAATAAAAAAAAGCTAGTATGATGGCACACTTGTTTCTCTGAGTATCTTTATATTCTTGTATCTAAAGCTTATTGAGGTGTTGAAGGCATTTATATTTGTACTTATGTTTGTTACTTATATTTTGATATTAACCCGGTATTTGAGATAACGAGTGATGTATTTTTAACTTTCTAAACCTAACTGTGAATGTTTCTGCCTTTGTAAGTTTCAAACACTTACTCCCACTCAATGGAGTACACTGTTGAGAGTTACTATACTCATTTTAAATAGTGATCATTTCTTTATTTGGAAAACTTATACCATTGTAATAGTCCCAAAGTATGCATGAGAAAGACTGTTAATGTCTGGCAATCTGAAATTGTGTTAACTGCTGATATGACATTTCTTATTTTTTCTTGCTAAAGTTATTTTTTGGCAAACTAAAATTATCTTGTGACAAGTTAATTTGCAATTCAGCATTTTCCTTTTTTTTTTTTTTGATCTCATTAGTGTGACCTACAAGAATGAGAGAAATTTTAGCAAACATCCCAAACACAGGCTGTTTCAAGATATCTTTATGGCTTTAGTCAAGAACAGACTTACCCACAGGTCAGTATATTGAACACATTCATATCTGAGAAGGAGGTCCACTCTTTCTTGCCTTAAGCAAAGAATGAAGATGCACGGATAATATTTCATGTTGTTTCAACAATGTATATGGCATATATGTTTCAACAATACAACTCTTTGTGGAAACCACCTGCTGCACATCTCTTCATAATCTCAATTTTAAACAACTACTTCTATATTGGTTTTGGGGAGCAAATGCTCAGGTTAGTGGGACAGAGTAAAGAAGAACTGAGTATATGATAAAAATTGATTGACCAAAATTCTAACAACTGCTATGTTTCCTTGATCATTTACCCATATCTAGTATCTGGAATCTACAATTTGCTTTCCTAATTTATTTTACTGATTTTATTTGTATTTTATGAACGGCTTACCTTTATACACAGGCCAGTGGCTTTCATAAAATTCAGATGAGTTTGTGCCACTTGTTCATATTTATTTGTACTTGTGTGTATTATAGGATTAGAAAGGGAAATCCCTTTCTTATGCTACTCTCATTTAAGTAAGGAAAAAGTGCAAGACCTTAAAAAAATAGTGGGGGCAGATAAAGATATTTTCTGTGAAAAAAACCCATTTTTCAGGATTTCTTTTACTATACTCCACTGCAGTGTGTTGTATTTTTATTTTTTAAAGCCCAAATATATTTTCCAACAAACACTTTAAATGGTACAGAAGCTTAAAGGAGGAATCCTAGAGCATTTGAAAATATTAATGTGTAACTGCTAGAATTTACAGATGAACTTAAAAAAATCGCATAGCTTGCTTGGACCTTTATTCAAAACTACCTGGGGAACTAGGGATCTCGTAATTGATTATATAAGTGCCAGTGAATTTAAAACTGATCATTTAAGTGATTTATAAATCCAGTGCCTCTTTTTTGCATGTGAACTCAGTACTCACCAGTGGGAAGTCAGTGTCTCAGCTTCATTTACCAGAAAATCTAAGAGTAGCTTACACTGTGAATTCCCAAGTTCTATTTTTACATTGTGGCATGCTTGGCTTATATTTTGGTTTTCTTTGGTGATCCTTATTGTTAATAACAATATAGCAAAATGAGCCTCTTTTATGAAAAATGGAAGCACCCAGGTAAGATTAATGAAACAAGCATATCTTTGTAGGTATGTAAAACCCATTTGTCTTCTCTTTGGAACTACTTCCATTTCTTTGTGTCAGAGCCACAGACTGCCACCTTGATTTGCATTACATGCTTTGGCTGACATAACAATGTTGTTGGGGTGCACGAAAAAATCACCCCTCCTTACTGGCATCACTGTGTGTGCAGAAGTCCTGGTTGCAGGTAGTTCTGTTGACAAGAAGACTGTGATCAGCTTAGCTTAAGTAGTTTGGATAAGGTGCATAACTAAGGTTGAAAAAATCCTGCTGGTGTAAGGTGGATGTACACTGGCATATCTAGTAGTGTGTGTTGTAAATGTCACCATAGTAGAAGAGGCTCTCAAATGTTAACCAGGCTCAGAGAATGACTGTCCACCATAGCAATATCTTCAGGTCACTTTAAAACCTGGCCTGCAAATTTTGCACACAGGTATATGGTTGCTGTTTTTATTCCATGAAAGTTTTGTGCTGTTCGGAAGATGCCAATTACGGAATCATAATGAAAAATAGTATTTCTTGAGGCAGAATATTGGCAGAGGGGCTGAGATTTTGTTAGCATCTATTTGTAAACCATTTATTTTTATCAAAGTATTTTTAGCTATTGGCATAATTCCTAACTGCAAATGATAAAATAGGAAGAGAACTGACATGTCCCATAAACTTCTTCTGTTTCTTGGAAATTTATCCAAACAAATTCTATCCTCTCAGTTAAAACAACAACAAAAACACACAGCAAAGATGTCTAATTTTAGGTTTATTTTAAATAGTAAGATGGGATTACATACCTTCAACTGACAATGGAAACTGTGATTCTGTTACTGGTATTTTATGCAGGATTACTGCCCCTGGGTGCTTTGTGCAAATCTGCAAATTTGATTGTGTTTTCTGCCAAGCCTTGTGCTGGAGAACTGTATGGAGGAATATAAAGGGAGAAGTTCTATGTGGAAATACAATCCTATTTCAAGAACATTTGAACTATAGCTATTTTTAGTTCTATAGCATACATATTTTTACATAAGTGTATTTTGTGCACTGAAGTTTGCTATGTGGTTTCTCTCTTATTTCTGCCTTTTTGGGCCTTGATCCAAACACTTAAAGTATCTTTATATCAGAGCACACTCAATTTGTTCTTAGAGATAAGCATGTACTTTCCTACATCAGTTCAGTGATAATAAGTGATGGCTGGCAATGCTCATATAATGAAATAAATTTATTTATAGCTGCTACTAGGTTTGAATATAAACAGTATTAAAAGTTCTATGGTATAGTATGTTGAACAGTTGTAGCTCACTAATCTTCTAGTCAATTGATTCCCGAATCAAACTGTTTTATTTGTTTAAACACTATTTTATTGAATTTGGTTAATATTTTGAATATTTCTTTTACAGGGAGTGGGTTATTCAAGCTCCATCCACCCATTTTCTTAGAGTATTGATCTGCCTGAGATTATTAATAAGGGATCCGTGCTATTAGATCAGTATGTCAAAATATTGTTTCTTGCTTGGATAGGAGAATGCATATAAGCATCATGTATATAAGCTGTGTTGGTGCTTGTGTATAAAGACATTTGTTCTTATGAATGCATACTTATTATATGTATGTGCCTATATTTCTGTATGTGAAGATGTGATTTGCAAACAAACAGATTCCAAGAGTGATTTCGCACTGTTACTGCATAACTTGCTCAATTTCTGGTATTTCTTATGTAGCATCTGTTGTTGCTAACCCTAACAAAGAAACTGTAAATCTCCCAACAGATGGATGGGTCATTCCACTGAGCCCTAGGCTCTGTACTTGACTTTACCATATAAATATGTAAAATTGCCATAATGTAGTAAGTGAAGTAAACTGAAAGCCACAGTTTTAAAACCTTTAAAATTTCACTTCTGTGTTTTTACCTACTTATTTTAAGTAATTCTTAACTCCGAAGGTGCTAAGCATTTCAAGCATCCATTGACTTTGACCACTGGAGTCAGAATTTCTCAATAAACAAACAAAGTTTGTTTCCAGGACAAACAAAGGATTTATGTTCTAGTGTTCTCTTTTTCTGGTATTTTCCATATTTTGACTGATTTTTAATTTTTTTGTCCATCTTCCCGTAGGAAATGCTTCACAGCTTGGGTGGAATTGAAAATCTAGCTCAGGTAGAATTCCTCATATACCCTTGCCCATTATGTTTGCATGTCAGTTTATTATGTTTAGAACGAAATACACTGCAAAAAGCAGTGTCCATATATTCCTGGTTTATGGAACAAAGAGAGTCCAGTACTCTGCACATAAGCAGTTGGTGTGGTCTTTTTCATTAGTGTACAGAACTGTAAAAAGCATCTGTCCTTATATACTATTGCATTACAGAACATTTTTTCATGAGACAGATGCACCACCTATGGGCTATTTCTGTGCATAACATTCTGGGTTTATGAAGTCTTAAAACTTTTTTTACTGATATTCTTTATTTTTTCTCTTCTTGTAGTATATGGAAACAGTAGCAAATAGCTGTCTTAATTATGGAGAGGAGCAGCATAATGTAGACAAGTTGGTCAACGTGACATGTAAGTGTTATAGCTGATAACAGACGTGATAAGGCTACTTACAACTTTTTGTGTGAGGCTTAAAATGTTGAGAATACTTGAGGTGGTCATTAAGTAAGATACTACTAGAATCATTGTAGGCATCAGCACACAAATAAAAACTGAAATTCCTGTGGAAAAATATATTTTGTTTTTCTACATTTAAGTATTTTAGAAATTATTACCTCTTTATGCATTGAACTGGAAGAGTAAAATTAGCTAGTCACGATTCAAAGAACTTATGCAGTATTTTGCTTTATTATCTAACTAGTAAAATGAAAATATTAAGTGGTAAAGATTCAATTTATTTAACTTCTTTTGTTCCACAGACATTTTCCAAAAGCTTGCTGCTGTTAAAAATCAAAGAGAATGGGTCATAGCAAATGGAGCACATAAAGTAAGTGCTTTATAAAATTGCTAATTATATGCAATTAACTACTTAATGGAATGACTTATGCTTTTCAGATTTGACTTAGGTGGGATTAAATTCCTTACCTTGTCAAACTTGTAAAGTGAGATAATCTCTGTGTTTGAGAGATATACTAGTAATATCATAAAAATAATGTCTTCTGTGTAAGTTAATTGGTCTGATACATGGTTATTGGTTGTTTGAGATAAATACATTTTAAATGTTTGGACTAAACTCTTTCATATAAAAATTGGTACTCATGTTTACACTGTCCTGAGCTACATGTTACTATGATACAAATAGTTTTACATAATTTTAAAATATAAATATACTGTAGTTATTTTTTATATACATTTCTGCTATGATTTTTCACTTGTGAGGTGTTCGAAATAGAATAGTGTCAAGCTAGACAGTGACAACCCAGGCATAATGCTATACCTTACCATTAGTCTAAGGATCTTTATTTAACCATTGCTGATTTGTGGCTAAACTGAGAAACAGTAGAGATTGAAATAATTTTAACTCGAGTTTCATGATTTTATCATGCTACAGAAAAACATAGGCAATTCTGATCAGATGATATCAGACAACCTGTTTTTAGAGAATCTAGACAAATATGAAGTTTACTTTAGATATAAATCATGAACAGAAATACAGGCAGGGCCTTAAATTACTGTGCTGTTTAAATATAAGCTATATATTAACGGTTTGCTTCAGGAGGCGTGATTTAGAGTTCTGAAATGTCTTACACAGAAACTAATTTTTCCAATGGTCTAAGTTGGACAGATGCTTTAGCAGTCAAAAGATATGCTAATTGCAGTTTGAGAAGAAATGTCCTTGCTTGTCCTAAAACTAGGTGTATTCTAAGACTTTAAATGTATATTTAAGTGTACTTTGAACGTACCTAAGACTTTTAACATACTGTGAAAGGATCTGGTATCTTAATTTTTACTTTTCAATAAATATTTCTATATACGTTTTGAGTTGTAAAAGAAAATATTATACTTTATGTTTACTTACCTTGTTTCATGTTTTATTTTCCAGACCTTAGTAAATTTGTTATCTACCCGAGACAGCAATGTCCTTTTGGGTGCCCTCCTTGCTCTGATTAGCCTAGCAGAAAGGTAGGTTCAACTTCATGTGCTGTAATTAGTGTTTTCTCTTGACACAATATTGAAACTGCTGTTTATGTGGAAGAGTTTTTTTTTTTTCCAAAATGAATCTTTGTTTTCTGGAGATCTATGAAATGTTCTTAATTTTCTACTGAAGCATTAGAAACTAAGTAGAAACTTTGGTCCTCGCAGCAGACTTCTTGCTCATGTGGAGAACTCTGCATGACTGGAGTCATAGGATCTCTCTTTGAGATTCTTATGCTGGGTTCTGGAATTCCTACTGACTTTCTGCATATAAAACTCTTTTGTCCTGAGGTTAATCTAACAGTGCCTCACAATAATCAGGTATAATATTGTTCAGTGGAGTAAATAATAAAAGCATGCACTCAAATCTATGTATATGTACCCTCCTTTCATGAATTAGTGTTTAAATCAAGATAAAGCTTTTATCCTGTTGTGGAGGGGAAAAAAAGGAAAAGAAAGATAGAGCATCTTTCGTCTGTAGTAGTTCTATAGAAAAAAAAATGCTTCTACTACATTGGTCTGTTGTCTTGCAGACTTCCCAAAATTCTTGCATTCTGATCCAGTTTAATTTTTTTTTTAAATGTCCATATTAATTTAAATGATATTATACATACATTTGCAACTTCCGTTTAAGTTTCTTCACTGAATTAAATGTGTTACATTTGGACTAGGCAAGAAAGTGTTTGGAGTATATTACAAATGTTCATGGAAATTGTGGTTGTTTCTAAAAATGTACCTCATTTGTTTCATTTCTAGTAAGAAACAAAATATATTTGTGTCTTTACTTTTATGCATTTACATTTACTTTTTTTCTACTGGTAAAATTGGAAATTTTTGAACTGTTACTCTTCACCCAACATATATTTGTGGCTTTAAGTGTTTGTGTGTGCAATATGATATTATTAATTAAGACTTGAGAAAAAAAATTAATCAAATGTATAAGGAGAGAAACTAAAGAGCAGTGCATGTTTTTCATATAATTTCATCCAATATAAATGCCAGGAATAATCATTTGTAGTCCAGAATGTAGGGAGAAGATAAGTGAGCTCACCATTGTTGAGAACTTGCTGGTGATATTACATGAATACGATTTTCTCTCTAAAAGGTGAGACTTGGTTTGTGGATTAATTGTGTTAAAATATATTTTGACTTTTTCATTTAGGGGCACGTTTATTTAGAGGAATTAGATAATGTGCCACTTTAATTTACCCAGGACACTGAAATATCTGTGTATTTTCAGTCAGATATTGATATAACAAAATCTTTTCCAGTAGTTCCGCTGTAAGCCGTCTGCTCTCTCTCCGCTGGTGGCCTCCAGTGCAGTCCAAATGAGTTGCGATGTTACAATAAAGTGATAACAGTCACTTTTCTTGCTGTGTCTCCTCTTTGCTCATGGCAGACCTGAGTGGCTGGATGGAAAGCATGATGAACTCTGACAGTCCCTGGAATGCCCAATATAAACTAGTAAAATTGCAAGACCTGTAGCTGCTGTAGTTTATGCCAGGGGCTGGGTCAGACCCCACATCCTTTCATTAAGAAAATCATAAAAACTCTTTAAGTGTCCTTTCATCTCAGCTAAGACTGCTAGCTGAGCATCACATATCTGTATTTCAGTAAAAGACCAAAAGACTTTCAAATTTGATAATGTGTGACCACATTTAAAATTCTGAAGAGATTTTTAAAATTTCATGCTTAATTATTTTGCACATATAATTTATTTTATATATTACTAAGGATAAAGGAGTTGAATATATCAAGAGATTTTATTTAGTTTGTGGGTTTGAAAACTATTTAGATTATATGTTAACCAAATGTTGGATATAAAAACTAGAATTTGAATGTACACAGAAAGCTGATGAAGTTCATTGCTAGTTAAGGATAATTTTAAATTTAGTTATGAACCTGAATTCATATGTTTCATCAAACACACATGCACCTTTCTTGCTTGAAATGAAAATAGATATCCTTAAGCATATTTTCTGTGGGAATTCCACCTAAATTGAAGTGAAATTAAAGAAAATCTTGTATGAGCCTTTTAAAGGATATGTCCAGTCACTTTTCTAAACATGATGTTCAAACCATACATAGAGAAGAATCACGCTTATTTGTGTTATCTGTGGAACTAGGTTATGTGAGTTCCACAAATGGACTTTCCAAGTTCATGCAGTTGGTGCTATTTGCAGTACTAATGCCATTAACAAGAAGGTGGTACCATGGATGACTGCAGTCCACCTGGCCACCTCCCACCCTGGCTGTGTATGCCTGGTTGCCTATGCTGACAGTCATACTCAATGTAAATATAATTTCATCCTTTGTGAAAATTTGGACCATTGTCTTTTTTTTTTGTTAAACAATGACTTTAACCAATTTGCAGTGACTATAAGACGTTTTCTTTAACTTTTTTTTTTTTTATAGGAGACCTCTGTTCTTTCTTAAACTTTTGATGTGATTTTTTTCCCCCTTTGATATCTGACAATACAAAGTAATTATGGAGTTATTGTTAAAATTTCTTGCTAATTTTGTTTTTTTAGGCTCACAGCAGAGTTGC